TAAAGATACATTTCACCCTTTTGATATCTTTTGAAAAGAGGAGATTGTTTTTACATAATCATAAATCTTTGAATAGATCACACAATATGACATTCAAACACATCGAACGGCCATTACATCCCATTACTACCACACTCTTCATAGTCACTACACTACTTGTATCTCTGCCAGTTGAGCTCAAAAGTCTCAAAACTGAGGTGGAGATGGTAGGAGTCTAGCTCCAAATCCATGCTTCGGAAGCCTCTCTAAATGCATAGCTGATTTCCCTACCTCCGACCATGCATAGTATGTTCGGCAAGTGGCAGCGAGGTCAACTCCCTTACTTGTCACCTTGTCTACTCCACAGTCATAGTCAAATTTCATCCTTGGTAGCATCCTCTCTTGGTTTGTAATCAACGATCTCTAAAAATGTCTTCAAGTGTTGCACCGGATCATCATCATTCCTTCCTCCAAAACTCCTTGCTTATTGCACCATATGGATGAGTTGAGTTTTGATTTCTATGGTCGTTGGAGCCGCATCAATGCCTGAGGTGTGTTGGTTGGTCTTGGCCATAAATACTCATTGAGAGTTGATGGAACGGGCACTTGTCTTTGTCCTTCTTTTCCTCATTTCTAAGGGTTACTCGAAATTTGTGGGGTTTGAGGGCTCTTCTTCTCTTGAGCTAGATGCTCCTTCCTTCGTCTTCAAGATGGGTGAACTCGATGCTCCTCCTTCTTGGACTAACTCTTCCATGATCTTTATTATATTTTTTCTTCTAATAGCTACTGGACTCATACAAAAACATAGAAAACAAAAGAGACAAACGGATAGGAGAAAGACTCAACCCAATCTTAAGAAAGAACGAGCGACGGGCAAAGCATTGGGTCCAACCGCCGCTACGATAGACATCTCAAAACGCATCCAAATCGTCAGAAAGAGAAGTCCATGGACCATGAAGCCGAACCCAAGAAGAAAAAGAGCGGTGAAACCAACCCCCGCCAACCTTAAACCATATGGAAGAAGTTTACTTAGCGTACAAGGTTTAGGATACTCTTTCCTAATCGGTTTAGGATGTTTTAGGACGAGTTCTTCCATTTTAAATAGAAAGCATGACTCATTAGTTCAGGAAGGCTACACAAACACACAAATTCTCTATAACACTCTACATGAATGGCTAGCCCAGTCGAATAGACTAAGCATTAGTTGGCAAACTTGCTTGCCAAAGGGTTGTTAGTTGGTCAATTTCAGTTCTTATTGAACAAGCTGGAGTACATTATATCTACTCGCCAACTTGAGGAGGTATGAAGCAGAGTGCTTGGATCGCAAACTGAAGAGAATGAAGAAGAGAAATCACTCTACCATACTGATGACTGTAAATGAATAAGGAAAAAGAAGAAGCCAACCATTGAGTTTGGACCGGACTTCCTTTCACCCAGTCTCCAACACACTGGCAACGACAACGTTTCACTTAGTCAAATTAAATCAGCAAGATAGAGTTACCTCAATACACGTGTCTTACATTGATAGGTAGTTTTGTAGTTACCCTTTTTTTGTGGTAGAAACAGAGCACAAAGGGGCGCTCTAACCCTTAATTACTAACGTATCTTGGGGTTTGAACCCCAATAGCATCAAAATACAACCAGTATCTCAGATCAGCACCTGGATTATTAACATAATGAATACCAACATTTAGGGAGTGCCCCACCGAAGCTAGGTGATCCGCCACAAAATTGGCCTCCCGAAAAACATGACCAAGCACAACTTCCCAATCCCACTCCAGCATCCGCCGAATGAAAGACACCATGGTGAAATGGGGATGAGAAGAGTCGGCTGACTCTATGAGAGAAATAGCTGTAGAGGAGTCAGTCTGCACCACAATCTTCCGATGCCCTCGCTCCCAAGCAGTTTGCATTCCATAGGCGCTCCCTGCCAGCTCTGCATAGGTGATGGATCCACCTCCTAAGTTCATCGAGTAACCAGCCACGAAACAACCATCATTATCTCTTAATACTCCTCCCGCCGCCGAGCTTCTCAGCGCCAGATTAACAGAACCATCGGAGTTCACGCTGATCCATCCCGGAGGGGGACGCTGCCAACCAATATCCCTTTGCACAACATGCCTGCCATTTCCTAGAACTGCCCCTCTACTGTCAAATGCCTTCTTGCTCTGCTCTCCCAAAAGCCTCGCCATAATCGGAAGTTGCTCAGCACATGCAAGTTTTTCCTCAAAAACCCATGAGTTACGGTTCTTCCACAATTGCCAACACAAGATCGCATACACCGACGGATCCAATACTCTGCTTTTGCCTGATAAGTAGTAGAGAACCCATCTCGTTAGATCATCTTGAAAAAACACACTGTCCGGTTCGTCCTCCAACACGTGCGACCACACTTCCCGAGCGTAAGGGCAGTCCCGCAGAACATGGAGAACTGATTCTGGTCCACCTCCACATATCTGACATTTGTCAGAACTAGCCATGTGTCTTCTGCAGCGCTCCCCGTTAGTTAGTAGCTTCTTATCCATCACTAGCCAGAAGAACGTACGCGTCCGCTGGGGACCTTGAACTTTCCAAACAGACTTCCACGCGGGGTGTTGTTCACGAGGCTCGTCCTCGTCTCGAAGCAGTTCATAGGCGGTGCGTACCGTAAACTTCCCTGTATATGAGAACCTCCAGATGGGGATGTCCGGTTCAACTCCCTGCGGCACCGGGTGAAGCTGCAGCTGAAGAACGAGCGCCTCCGGAAGAAAAGCTCGAGCGAAATCAAGATTCCAATCGCCATTAAGGACTAGCTCAGCCACCCGCAGGTTTTTCACTTCTTTGGGGAGATCTTGGGCAAAGTTCTCTAAGGGCGGTCCATCCTGCAGCCATCTATCCAACCAAAAGCGAGTCTGCATACCGCTTCTCACGTTCCACATGGTGCCTTCTGAGATATAATGTAACACTCGAAGAACTCCTCGCCATAGGTTCGATAGTCGACCATTTCTTCGAGGCTGCCACATTCCATCTGCTTCTCTAAGATACTTCCCTCGAATCACTTGAGCCCAAAGGCTGGTTGGCTCAGTGAACAGTCGCCAAGCAATCTTCAGCATAAATGCATCATTCATCTTCGTCGCATTCCTCAAGCCCAAACCTCCTTCTTCCTTCGGTTTACATAGAGAATCCCAATCAACCAAATGGACATTCCTCCCATGCTCAGAGCTCCCCCAAATGAAACCCCTTATCTTCTTATCAATATAATCTCTGACTGATGCCGGGAGGAGAGCTGTCTGCATCGTGTAAGCTGGAAGGGATGACAACACAGCCTGGGCGAGAGTAATCCGTCCTGCTAGTGACAACGAGTTAACCTTCCACCCCGCCAGTCTGGAGTCAATCCGATCAATAAGCTCGGTATAAGTTACCTTTGACACCCTTCCATGTATCACCGGGACACCTAGGTACCGACCCAAATTCTTAGTCTCCGGAATATCCAGTGTGTTGCTCAAACTAGCTCCTACTGCACCTGAGACATTCTTGGAGAAGAAGATCCGCGATTTGGGTTTGCTGACTGCCTGCCCTGAAGCTGTACCAAAGTCCTCCAAGCACTTCAAGATTACTTGTACTTGCTGCATAGACGCAACGCTGAACAAAATCAAGTCATCCGCGAAAAACAGATGTGATAGCTTCGGTCCATGCTTTGATAAACTTATCGGCTTCCACTCTCCTGCATCGACCGCAACATCAATCAAATGACCCAATCTCTCCATGCAAAGTGTGAATAGATAGGGTGACAGAGGGCATCACTGTCGAAGACCCCTGGATGGAGAAAAAGCTTCGCTGAGACCACCATTCCACTGTATCTGCATCTTCGCGGAGGAAATGCAACTCATAGTCATCTCTATGAATTCCGTTGGCGCGCCCACAGCTTCGAGTGTATCCTGGACAAAGCTCCACTTTATCCTGTCATACGCCTTAGCCAAATCGATTTTTAGGACCATCCAACCCACCCTGCCCTGCTTAGCCTGCATTGAATGGACAACTTCCTGCAAAATACAAATGTTGTCAGTAATATGCCTGCCCGGCACAAAGCTCGTCTGCGTAGCATGAACCAATCTCGGCATCAAGGGTTTGATCCGCTCCGCCAAGCACTTCGTTACCATCTTATACGCTACGTTGCAAAGACTGATTGGCCGAAATTGTTCTATCAAAGAGGGCCTCTGGATTTTCGGAATCAGTGCAACAATGGTCTCATTTACTTCCTGGATTCGCAGTGGAGTGCGCCAGCAAGACTTCACAAATTCCACCACTGCAGTGCCCACAAAATCCCAACACCGTTGGTAAAAGAGAGGGTTTAGTCCGTCCTTCCCCAGTGCTTTCAAAGCACCCATGGTTTTAATATCCTGATGAATTTCTTCTGCCGTGAACTCCTTCTTCACCGACTCCCACAGATCGGATGTTATCGCCTGGAACGCATGTGGCAATGACTGGATTGGGGCTCCATCATCGGTGTACAAGCCCGAGAAATAATTCCGAGCAAGCTCGAGTAGAAGGCCCTGCTCCTCAATCCACTCGCCCGCTGCATTTTTAAGAGCTGTTATACGGTTCCTCCTCCTTCGGTTTATTGCTCGTGCATGGAAGTACTTTGTATTTTTATCACCCGAAGCCACCCACTCCAGTCTAGATTTCTGGCACCACAGTAACTCCTCCTGTAAAAGAACCTCCTCTAGCTCCTGCCTCGCCGACTTCAAAGCGTCAATCTCCGCATCTCCACCATGCCTAATTTCCAGTCGATCAATCTTAGCAAGAATAGCATTCTTCCTTCTAATGATATGACCAAAAGTCTCCACGTTCCACTTCTTTGCTTCCGTAATGAACTCTTTTATTGATGAAAGAAAATCAACCCCTCTCGCCCATGCCTGGCCAGCCATATCATTGAACCCCTCATGAGTTAGCCATGCTGCCAGGAATTTAAACGGTTTCGGGCCAGCAGGTGAGTATGTCGGGTTCATTGCCACCAGTAGCGGACGGTGGTCGCTTTTGATTCAGGGGAGATGTCGCACAGTTACCTCAGGAAATCTGTCAATCCACTTAGCATTACCCAAACCTCTGTCCAACCTTTCCTTCACACCTTGCTTGAACCACGTAAACGGTGGACCAGCAAACCCCAAATCCACTAGCCCGGCATCTAGAACGCAGTCCTGAAATTCCTTCGCACGACTAGCATCAAACGGCGCCCCACCAGACTTATCCGACGGTTGAAGAATCGAGTTAAAATCCCCCATAAGAAGCCATGGATCTTCCATAGTATGAGCAATCTCCCTAATTGACTGCCATAGGGCCCGCCTCTGAACCAGGGCTGGGTTAGCATACACAGCCGATAGATACCAGCTAGCATCTTTCATCGTAACCTGAACCAGGAGCATTTGAGCCGATCTGTCTACCTCTGTGATCGTGGCAATGGTCGAGTCCCAAACCAGCCAGATACCTCCAGAAAAACCTACCGCATCAACGATCAAGTACTTGTCGAAACCCAACCCCTCGACCACTTGAACCGCCCTGACCCCACTGATTCTTGGTTCTACAATAATCGCAATACTCGTACGATATCTTCTCCGGTATTCCTTAAAGACTCTTAAGAAACGCTTACTCCCCGCACCCCTACAATTCCACGTAAAGATATTCATCATTAAATACGTAGGAGTAGTAGACCCAGGCTGACGCCCCAATAAATCAGCTCGGAGAAACCTCATTCGTGAGGTTCTCCTTGGTGTTCTCTGTGTTCTTCCCTATTGAAAATTCCATCGGAATATCTTTCAGCTTACACACTTGATCCGGAGGTCTAATGAAGTGTCCTTTCATAGTTGCCATGTCACTTTGGATGTCCTCAATTGCTGTATTCTCCTTCTGCCGTGGCGGAAGTGGCATACCCACTTGCTGAATAATAGTTGAGGGTCCAGAGGAGGACACCGCCACCGCCGGACGGGAAAGTGAACTAGAAGCGGTACCCTTAGTTTGCTTTAGATGTTGTCCCTGCTCCATCACTCGATTAATGTTCTCTTGACTTTGACCTGCTTCTTCCAGAGGTGTCTCAGTGTCTTTCGAACCATCGGCCTTCATTTTCCCCAACTTCTCCACCTTCTGCTGTTCTACACTGGGTGCGGGCTGTTCCTGGGGTGTAGTGTTCGGGTTCTCATTTGTTTTTTCAGCCTCACCTGTTTCTTCTTCTCTCAAAGCACTAAACCTGGATCCGCCCACCCCCTTTCTTATCTCATTCCCACTACTCGCCCTACTCTTACCAGCTTCCACAGCACGTCCCCCCCTGATCTTTCCGCGTACGATTTCTCTTTTTTGCTATCATCCACTCCCCATAAGCAGCATCGGTTTCATGGGGGGTTGATTCACCGTCCGGCACGCTAACTTCTACCTCCATTTCCACTGACGACAGCGTGCATGAGCACCGACCTCGCGCACGATAAGTCCCACATTGCAAACAGATGTGTTCTAATCCTTCATACTGAATAAAATACTTCTTCCCATGCAGAGAAAACTTCGACAGGAGTGGCTTTGTAAGGTCAACTTGGACGCACACTCTGGCATAATCGCTGCGAGCCCCCGTACTTGTTGCATGGTCCACTCTTATCGGCTTCCCAATGCGTTGACCTATCTTCATAGCCGCCACAGGATGAAAGTACTGAATGGGTATTTCCAATAGACGTGCCCAGACGAGGGTCGAGGAGATCTCATGCTCGTAAGGATTAAAGTGTTGAGTCCACGGGTGAATGGTCAAATAATTATCGCCCACCATCCAAGGGCCACCTGTCACCGCTCGTTCATAGTCCACCCCACTTGTAAATCTCACCAGGAAATAACCGTTCTTCGCCGAGGTCACTTGGATTGTACTCACTCTCGCCCAGATGCTCGTCAAACGCTTCGCCATGAGAGTGTAAGAAACTGATCGTCCCAATGCTTTCACCAGTAATGCTGAGCGCCATTCCCTATTGAACATCCTTTCTTCTGCTGCCGTAAAGTAGATCGGAGGGCACTTTGGGTCTACTATTTCGTCACAGCCTTCGTCTCGTCCCTCCTGCCGCATGGCTTCAGCGATATCCTCAGAGTCAGACTCCGCAATGTACCATGTGCTAGTGCGCGAAGCGTCGCCGAACAGCTTCCTTGCCGCCCCCGCGCAAGCACCCCACACCGATGGTCGGGGGCTAGAGGGTTGAGAGTTACGTTGTCCGGCCATACCGGCCTCGTCCAGGTTTATGTCACCATTATCATCGACCAGCGGCACTGTTTGCTTGGCCCGTTTTTTTGTTTGCTGCGCCTCCCTCTCGCCTTTCGGATTCGGCGATGAAGAATCAGTCGGAGGTCGTCGTTGCCCCGTCATCGTCTCTGACGCCATGGGGATGTCTTCTGCCCCGTCCCCGGCCAGCGTCGCGATCACCGCCGGCATGGGTTGAAACCCTAGTGCGTACGCTGATACTTCGTCGGCGCCCTCCTATTTTTCCGGAGAGAAAAAACCCTATTTTCTGTTTTTCCTAGTTACCCTTTAATTTGGCCATTGTTTTTATAGGAGGTGCAAATTGCAGACTTCCTCTGTGTATAAGGTGGATTCTCGGTGAAATGAAAAAGGCTAGATGCCAAATTTCCCACAAATCTTTTTGTTCTCTCTAAACCCTAGCTTTCATGACGACGAGGTTTACATCTTTCTCAAATTTTACTAATTCATGACCAACACTTCTACTATACTATAAAGTATTGGTGTTTTAATGTACAATTTGAAGTTGTATAATAACGAATGTATGAGTTTAGGTTGTACAATAAAAGGAATTTTTACCCTTATGTTATGTACAACTTCACAACTCAACCTGACCCATTTTACCCGCCCCAAAACAGGCCAAACAGGTCGGGTAAAATGGGTCTGGTCGAAATTGCTATCCATAATGCTGTGTTTTTAGGAGAGAAAGTGAAGGGGAAGGAAAGATAGGGCGAAAATTGGGGTTCCCAAAAAGCTTTCTTATGTTCTCTAAACCAGCTACAGGAGGGAGGGACGGAAAATGAAAAGATACAGGCTTCAAAATTTGCGGATCTGGACCAGAAATGGCAATCCATGTACGCGACAGTCCATTCACGCGAGCCGCTTGGGCGGAGCTCCTGGAAACGAGCCAGACCACCAATTTTTTGAAGAAGATTTGCGGTGGTGGACTCATTACTACCTATCAGGCCAAAGTCAAGTCATTGACAGTACTCTTGTTCCAAAGTGAGCTAAAAGCCTATACACAAATCCAGTACCAAGCGAAACAACTCAGAGAACAAGTTCTCAAAACTTTTGAGAAGGAGAGGAGTATCTTCGGAGATGGGGGACTCTGCGAAAGGTGCATGGTTAGCTGGAAACCACCGGCGCAAGGTTGGGTCTGCGTTAGCACAGACGGCTCAGTCATTTCCTCTCCTGAGAGCACTACTTTTGGTGGCATTGTTCGGGGGGGCGATGGTCGATTCATCAGCGCTTTCACGGCGAACCTTGGACGGGGCTCCATTACGCGTGCAGAACTAACTAGTATTGTGTATGGGCTGAAGCTTTCTTGGGATCAAGGGGTCAGGAAGATTATTCTCCAGACAGATTCAGCAACTGCCAAATCCCTGATAGAGACCGCATGACCTCATCATCCGCATTACACGCGAGTAGCGGAGATCCAGAGCTGGTTGGCTCGACAATGGACACTTAGTATAGATCATGTTTACCGCAAAGCTAATTATGTTGCAGATTATCTTGCTTCGATAGGTCACTCCTTTCCGATTGGGCACCATGTCTTTGATAGCCCGAGTAGCTCTTTAGCTTACTGGTTGTACTATGACTCTGTAGGGATTCAAATGTCCCGTCTTATTCGTACGGAATAAAGGGACGAGCAAATTAACTGGGTGATTGGTATACTTCATAGGAAGGATAATTTTAAATAAATAGATATGATAATAGTTCGTTGGCCAAGTGAAAAAGTGGGTTGAGGGTCAATGGTTCGATCGTTTTAGTCCGGATTAGTTAGAAATTAGGATACATGAGAAATAATTAAAACACCACAATTTCATAAAAATATTATATGCTAAATATAAATTATGTTAGACAAATATATTGATTATTTCTAGACAAAATATATATGCATGTGTATATCCCTACCCCGCAATATTTGAGTTGGATAGTAAGAAAACCATGTCCACCCATTACCCGCAATATTCGAGTTACCCATGCCCAGTAAAAGTCCTTCGGGTTCGGGTATTACCCTACCCGATTACGTTGGATTCTAGTGGATATCCACGGTTACAGATACTTTTGCCATCCCTAAACATGACTAGCAGGGTGCAATGGTATGGACTGCACCGAACGAAATAATTTTTGGGCCGGATTATACCAAATCAGTGTGCAATTTTTTTAAATCAAGTTAAAATGAACGAGATTTTAAATCGAGAAATTTTTTTTAATAGTAAACCAAATTAACAAGAAATAGAAAATTTGATTAACTATTCATAAATAATAAAAATAATATCAATACATTATTAAATTATTCTACTATTACTTAAGCAATGAACTATCACACTTTCCAATATATAGTTTTTCTTGTTCTTTTTTCCACTTTCCTTCATAAAACATTATTTCCCCTCCCTTTCAAATTTTCCTTTACCTCCTTTTCCTCCCCTCCAAATTTCCATTCAACTCCATTTTCCTTCCTTCCTTCCTTCATAAACAGAGTGTAAAGATACATGATTCATTGCCGAACACATTATTGTTAGGGCATATATTATCTCTTATCTTATCTAAACCACACTTAATGCCATTCAAACCGCCATTCCAATTTCCAAGTACACTAATATAATAAGTACCCGTTCATTGATTAAGTGCTTGTCCTTTTTATATCTTTACGTTTTTCTACTTAATTCTTATAAACGTGAGAAATTGAATCTGTCTGTTATGATTTAGTTTTCCTATTTTAATGCACGATCAACCAAACATAACGTTATCGAGAAATTTTGTTTATGTTCAGACTAGGTAATTTGTCCTCAACTGCACAATTGAAAAATGTGGGTGCCAGTCCATTGTGCATAAACAGCGAAAAAAGACGGCCTTCCTAACACCATTCGTCAACTAGAACAATGTTGACTTAAAATCTCAATATATTACTAATAGGACTTGTTATTTTGTATGGAAGTTGGGATGTGAACATGACAAAGTTCTTATTTAGAAATATTGGTTCAAACAATTTAAATAATGATAGAAAATAAACCTGTACCATTCATTTATACGTAGTAGAATATCATTTTATAACTTTTTTCCTATTGGTTTGCAGTTTCAATAGAGACCATGGAACTTATATTTTAATCATCCATTCGTTTGAGAAGTCACAAAACTAAGTGTACCGAAACCTCTTGTATTTAACAAGTTTGGACTTTTGAGATCGGTTAGTTGGCGGGAAGACAATATTTTTGTTAACATAAACTGGTTTGAGTTTGATTACAATATTTTTGACACACGTAAAACTATTGTATATAATGATGGTACAAAACTAAACATTATCGATATAGTTTAGTAATTCTGCGGAAAAAGAATTATGCCTTATGCATCATGCTAGATATGATCAGGGGCGGAGCTAGGATTTTGGGTTTGGGTTCGTCAAATAATTAGATTGACATTCTTGTTAAACTTATCGGGGGAAAATTTTCCATTAAAGCTATAAAATTTTAAAAAATTCCAACCGAAAAACTGATACATGTGGTGATTGAACCCTTAACCTTTTGGATACAGAACCACAACTCCACTAGGGTAATCAGCTTTTTTAGATACCTTTTAACCCGCGGCCATTATTATAAAACCTGTATTAGTTCGTAATTTTCAGAATACTCGTACATTCTTTCGTGATTTTCGAAATTCTGGGGGGGCCGGGGCCCTCCTTAGGCCCTGTGTAGCTCCGCCCCTGGATATGATCCAGTAGTATACAGTGATATATAAATATAACCAAATGATATTAGTATAGTTTAGTAACTCTGTCAAATAAGAGCTTGATTCATGAATATGTTATCGTGACCATGTTTTTTATTTTTTTTATATCAACATATATGAAAATTAATAT